GGGATATAGTTGACAGAAATTAGAAAAGACTTGAACTTAATTAACATACATCTTGAACAGTTTGAAGAGACGCCACAGTACCACTTTGATTTTGATTATCTTGGGGTTGCATTGCAACATATGTTGTTTGACTACTTGAAGCAGGTGCAGCATTTGGAATGCCTGTAACCATTTCAGACAGACAGATATTAATCATGAAAAACTAATTTTAGTTCAATATAAAAGTAAGAACAAGAACAAAAAATAGCTTACCAGAAACAAGTACAGGATTTTCGTTGGGGTTAGACTGAAAATAGTATTGACCATTCTCATCCATGAAGTAGGTTCCATCGCTTGGAGTGTCAGGATCAGGCACTATTGTTTGAACATCTGACAAAACCATAAAAAAATTGAGATAAGACTATAAGTCAAAATGCTTTACTACCATTTACAAATAGCCCTCAAAATTTTAAACCACACCTGTAAGAGGTTGAATAGTTGTTCCATCTCCTGTCTGGATTTCTTTATTAAAATTGTCTAAATAGTTTTGAATATCTGTGATTGTCTCACTCGAAGTAGCTTCAAGCTTTATTTGTGCTGTCATAAAATAAAAACAATGCAGGTTAACAAGTTGTCATTATCTTCTGGGAAATAGAGAGCTAGCAAAAATTCATTTTTATCTTACATGTTTTTTTTTCTTTGATAGTGCTCATGGTTGCTACTCTCACTTGAGATCAGCTATCAGAGATGCCGCTAACACATCAGATTCTGGAATGACATATATTGCTGTTTAAAAGTGAGTTTTGAAAAGCATCAACTGTTCTACTTGTGGAGTGGAATAGACCAAGGTATAAGAAGTTCTGAAAATAAAAGCCAAGTTGCGTACATCATTCTGAAATTTGAATAGGAGCAGCTTCGCATAGAGGCACAGGTAACAGCATGTAATTAAAATATATGTATAGGCTGTTAAATTTTGAATGTATTATTGAAAAAATAAAGTTTTTCAGGAATTACAATATTTTTATTAAGAAAAACATAGTTAACTATTTGGTCAAGTACTGTCTGACAGGATCCTTAAAGGTCATGAAATACATCTCAAAGGAATCTTGGCCACGCAGTCAATGCAGGCAAACTAAGGAAATGCTGCACGTAGCCGATGTCACAACAATTTTATCGACGGTAGTTCATTCAAGTTTGAACAGTAGGGGGAATTTGAGTGGGAAATAATTCTGAAGCAAGCACTACTAGCGCCACAAGCCCGAGGCAGAACACCAAGATGGTGGAACATATAATGCCTCAACCGTGTAAAACATTACGGGCTACTAGATGGAATGGAGCAGAGGGCCCTTAAGAGTGATACTATCAAATCAAAACAGTGATAGATACCTTTCTGAGACCATTAATATTGAGCTGTACTGTTTTGACTTCACTAGCGCTGTGGCGAGAACACATACCTTAGTTTTTCAAGAACGATCGTGTGAGGGCGTTGCAGCCGTTACAGGCCAAAACCGTCAAGATGGCGATCGAAGTGAGGAAGAAGCGTGCACAGAAGTGTCTCTCTCTACTTGCTTAATTTGGCGACATTTTGTTTTTGTAAATGATCTCAAATCGTATTCGCGCGTCAGTCCTCATTACATAAATTACATCAGCAAAGTTCAGAAGTCTGAATAATCGTCATTGGACGGGAAAACACTGTACGATGTCGATGTATTATTCGCTGGAGCATGTAGCGGGTGGGGGAGGGGAGGAGGAGGAAGGGAGGGGAGGGGTAGGCATATGAAGTATGGTCCAATAGTTAAGACAAACTTAGTCTGGGTCCAGAATTATAAATAAAAGTTGAATGGTTTTTTAGCATAAATTGGTGCGATGTTGCCTTTCTATTAGTTAACGAGTACCTACGAATGCAAACCTCAAAATACCTCATCACTGCCGATAATCTTACCTAACGTTATCACCTTTCCTGACTGGGAATAGCGTCAACGTGTTTGGCGCCAACTTTTGAATCACCTTGTCACTTAACTCAAGTTACAATTTTTGGCGCATACCTTAAGATATTTCAGGAGAAGTTGTTGTATTCGAAATTCCAGACATACAAGAGTGTTTCTAGGGAAATATCAATGAAAACACATAAAGAGAAACCGAAAATTGAAAAGATTGAAATTACATTTTATTCAATTAATCGATTTTCAAAAAAAGTAGCTCACAGCCAGGTACAGCAAATAGTAGGTAGGTTAAGGAAACCATGTACATATATCACAATATCTTCTTATGCATTTGTTATATTTTTTTCAGCTTGCATGCAGATTGTTCTGTGCAAATAGTTAGTAATTTGTGAACAGAGTATAAATTCTATAACAATTCCATATGCAAGCCTCATATATGTATTAATATTTAAGCGACATTTGGATTCCACAAATGGATATTATCATAAAAACCACTAACCGAAGTAAGATAAAAGAAACATACAACTTTTTGGCTGTAAGAGGAATTGAGTTGACAGAGATAAGTTCAACACAGTCCATGAAAAATGTTTTAGTCGCATATGGTCATATATCATACAAGAATACATATGACCATAAATCACACTAACTATTATTTGATAAGAAAAGTGTGGAAAGAAAAACAATTAGATGTTTTAAAAATCTTTTTACATTGAATTTGCAGTCATTTATCCCTTCCGAAGGTGCGACCAACCATGAGGTAAGTATATAAAAAAGTAGCTATATTAAATTTGCTTTAATAGTTTCCAAAATGCTTTAACCTGTGATAATAAATAGACCACAATAAACATAAGTTAGAAGACAAAGGACAAACAAAATTAGATATCTGAAATATTTAATGAACAAAATCAATTAACAAAAACTTACCTGTACAGGAGAGCTCGCCCTCTATTGTTGCCTAGGGATAAGAAGCCACTGTGTGGAGAGAAGTCAAGGCACTGAGGTCTCATGACATTTTCAGCAACATGAGGAAAGTTGGAAAAGACGGTCATGGACGGAAAATGCATCTAAGGAGAGAAGAACAGAATTAGTCGAGAAAAGGCAACCTCAGAAACTACTCATCAGTCGAAAATATGTAGCTGAATTAGAAAGGAAAATTTGTTTTGTCTACAACAAAGAATGATAGATGTATTCCACAAAAGTAGAAAAGAGTGCGTAAAAAAAAACAACAGGTAACAATTGTGCTTACCAGTCTCACAGCATTTTCTTTGTCAACTGATGCCATGGCTAACACTTCTGAGGTAGCATTGAATTTTAAAGATGAAATTTGAGTAACTAAATTTAAGGCAATTTTCACTGGTTGAGGTGCTGCTGAAGAATAAATACTGGTCCCTTCATAAATATTTACGACTCCAGAGGATGATCCACAAGCAAGATATTGACCATTTGGTGACACAGCTAAACTTGTTCCAACAATACATCCATCATCAGTAAAGCGATGAATACAGCTTCGAGAATGCATGTCCCAAACATAAACCTCACCACCATCTATGATAAAAAATGAAATAAAAATAGAATACACGAAATTTCAAACTGGAGTGATATAAATTATTAATTCCTGATGAGATGAAAACACACAAATACATCAGGGTGCATAAATTATTACCTCCATGAGAATACAATCGTGAACCATCTTTGTTAAAACTAATAGCTTTAACATCACCATTCATTTTCAAACTACCAAGCCACTCCTTGCTTTGAGCTGTGATAAGATGAATATGACCAAATCTTCCAAGTGCTGCAATCAAGCGGCCATCTGGTGACATTGTAAAATTCTGAAAAGCAAACATTATGCTATCAATTTACCACAGTATATTAAAATGAGTTAATATGAGAAATGTGTAAGACATTACCTTCATGTTGGTTACTTCAGATGTGTGACTTATAGGAACTTTAATTGAGCGTCCCTCCATCATATCATAGACAAAAAAGTGGCCATGATGTTGAGACCCAACAAGAAATTGGGTTCCATCATTGGAAAAATGTGCACATCTAATGGGGAATCTTTCAAACTGAACAGTTTGTAGTTTAGTATTGGATTTTCCATCAACCTTGAAAAGACAAAAACAAACAAACAAAAAAACAAAGATTAGAGGGGAGGCAAAAGTATTACATTGAAATTAAGAGAATCAAATTCCCATACTTGGACAATGGAAACAGCCCCACCCAACCCAGCTACAAGAGATACAGTTGAAGATGGATGAAACTCAGTAGCAGAGATGATTGGACCTTCTGCATTAGAATCCACATTCAAATCCCTCAGATGTTTTGATTCAAGCAGCCCTTTCCCAAGATTTTGAGAGCGGTGATGGTGAAGAAACGGACCAGAGTGCTGAAAACATAATAATTTTAGAACTACTTCATAACTATTTAAAAAAAACGAAAAAACAGAAAGTAATCACACCTGCATAACATCGTCATCATCATCTGAATCAGTGTCACACTTTCTAATTGAGGTTGCTCCAAGCTCAGCCCATCGCGGAGTACCCATGAGAGCCTCATATTTACCCTTCAGGAAGCCTGAGTAAGAATCCCGGCTTCCTGAAGCATCGTGAAGTTTTCTTCCCTGTGATTGAAATGCTTGCTTCACCCTTAAACAAAGGCATACAATTATGGTATCTAAAATTCTATTATCAAATTAAAACAAAACTTCATTTAACTGAATGCATACTGAATAGCATCATCATCTTCATCCATCCATACTGGTTCTCTTTTCTTGTCATCATCACTTGTTGATGGGCTTGAATCACCCATCTCCACACCGGAGTCATCCTCAGATGGAGCCGAAGCTGATATATTTGGTTGTTTAGTAGCTCTGATTCTACTAGAGGTAACTTCTGGAACCTCATCAAAGTCCAGGTCAAGGTCATCCGCAGTGTCCAAATTGGCAACAACATCAGATGCATCGCCAAATATGAGTTTTTCCAGCCTAAAAATATCAAGTTCAAGATAACAATATTAAAACCTGACGAACTAGATAATTGAATGTTGTAGGCAAGTGTAGCAATGCTAATGTACGCTGAGAAATTTGAAAAATAAATAAAAACCTAACATGCCGAGGGAAAATTATGATCGATAAATAGCAATCATCATTTACAATACATGACATGTCCTAACAGGAGAGATAACCTCTCGATCACATTTTCAACTTGACGTTTTGGATAGCATATACAGACGTAAACTAATACATACCTGCGCTCTTCCAGCTGGCTGTCTACTCCTAAGGCATTAATACGTTTCTTCTTCTCTGATTTATTTCCATGCTGTTTAGAGCCGGACCCAGAGGACAAGCCTCCAGTACCCTCATCACGGGTCCTATGGCTCCTCTTCCTGCCTTTACCAAACATTGCTGTCTAACCAACCCACTAAAAGGATGAAATTAACAAATTGACGTTAAGGTAACCAAATGACACGATAAAATATGATATGGGAGGGATATTTGCCTAATTCTTTCTACCTATATTGATTTTATGGATGCAAGATATGAGGCAGCACCTTGTCAGCAAGCACAACTACAAGACCACACCACCACACACGCGTACGAGAAATGTTTGGAGCTTGGTTGGTGAATTTTTCATATTCTTGTACGTCAATAATTGTCATACTGAACCTCCTCTAAAAGAACTTCTGCTTTAAAAGGCCTGTGTTTACCTTATTGTTTTTGTTATTGTGTTGACGTTCTAAGAGCAGAACAAAATCAGAAAGGACAGAAAAACCGCCGATCTAGGTGTCGTACTTTAACTTTCCTCGCCTGAGAAGTCGTGTGTGACTAGTCTCTGCGGAGCTTGTCTCTTGAACTTCTTCTGTGTCTCAGATATTGAATTTATCATGGAAGGAGACGACGATAGGAGCTCTGATGATTCGTGGTCTGCTGATTTTGAGGTCGATCCTGTTGAGGCACAATTAGATGAATTTTGGGAACCTGCTCGTGGTGAGCCGATTCGATTTGCTCATTGTATTGTAGTTTCATCTAGCATGCACTTGAAAACGTATTTTGTTTCAGATGAAAGCGAAACCACAGCGCCACTTTCTAATGCTTTTGATGTCTCCGAACAAACCTTTGATCCTACTCTCCCTATGCAGCATTCTGTAAGAAGTGTTACTTGAAACTATCTGAGCAATTCCACGAAAATGGTAAAAAAAAATTGAAAGTTACATTATTAGTGAGCAACTGAGAGACACATTGAGTTTGTAGCTACACATGACCTGACGCATCATCTCAAGACACACCATGTCATGTGTTCATGTGTCATATGTGTTCCCAAGTAACAGAGGGCGGTCATAAAAACATTATAGTCACTATTTCATGTCACTGACTTTAGCCACTGGGAGCTTTGTTTTTAAACAAGTCGTTGAAATGACATTTATGGACGTGCTAGTCATATCACAAATTATGTCACTGTAACGTTTTTGTGACCAGTCGCTGTTACTTAGGTTGCAACAATATGTAGCACCTCTCAGTCACTTAACAAATGTCAGAAATGTTCTCCCTTCACGGAATTGCTCATCTCATGCTTTATGTCATTTATAAGCTGGCAGCTTATGGTTTTATTCTCCTGTTGTAGTATCTAGGCACTGATCTGACAGTCTTGCATGGACGGACATTGCTAGATGATGACGAAGGATCTTCCTACTGGTTGCCACTTCTTCCGCAGATAGACGTTGTTCTAGTACCTGGTCAAACTCTTCCACTTTCAGTGTCTAATTCTGAACACCAGCATACACTTCAAATGATAAAAAGAGCTCTGGATGGAAACAAAATATTTGCAACAATCTGCATGTTGTGAGTAATTTTTTAAAAATCTAATTTGAAACATAATTTTGTGAATAAGATCCTTGATGCCGCAAATGCTTTCCTTTCTCGTTGCAGGCGACATGAAAATATGACTGATTTATATTATGCTGATGTTGGAACAACTGCAGAAATTTATGAAGTTCATAGCGGAGGTGAAAATAACTCTATGAAAATAAAAGCTATTGGCCGGCAGCGTTTCCAACTCCTTGAAACAAAACCAGACTCTGAAGGGTTAGTAAGGATTCCAGATCAGATACTCATAATAATAAATACTAAAGCCTGTAATATTCATGAAAAAATTTCCCAACAGCTTCTTTCCATTAGCACGTGTAAAGGTTCTTCCTGAAATCACTCTACCCAATCCAATGTCAGAAAATGCTTTTCAGTGTCTTGACAGGTATCGAACAAATGTAAATGATGAGGAGAAAGCATTAAAAAGAAGGTCAGTTTTTTTCCACAGACAAATTCATTGTTTTACATTTTGTCTCATGATAGTATTGCATGGCTTTTGCAGACACAGTTTGCGTTCCAGTGATTCATTGACTTCAGCATGGCCTTTATGGATCTATGAGCAGTATGATCCACAAGTCCTAGTGAAGAGAATGAAAAGAGTTTTATCAACCTATACTGCAGGTTCCTATTTTGTTTTTTGAATGACGAAACAAATATATTTGTGATTTCTTTGATACACAGTTTTATCTCTTCAAGAATTGTTATGTTCAAACTGCATCATGGTCTTTTCTTACAATTGCAGCCTCACAAATCCCCTCTGATCCAATAGAGCTGTCTTTTTGGGTGGCACGCTCCCTTCCAGTCAGTGACGCTGTTCGACTCATACCTCTCAGAATGAACTCTGCAATACAACGCCTTCGCTGGGAACTTAACACATTGGAGAAGGTATTTATAATGAAGTACTTTTGAGTATAATTAGCCATCATGTATTTATATAGTTCTATTGTATCCCGTATCTCTCATAGCCAAGCATACTGTGCTGCAGAAATTGCAATCAGACAATAGCCAACCAGCAAGATGTATTTTCAATGTCAGCAGAGGGCTTGCAGGGCACTTACGTTAATCCTCATGGCTTTGTTCATGATACAATAACCATTCGGAAAGCCAATGGTATAGTTCTTCAAAATCAGCCTCCTTCGACAGAATTCAGCTGGTTTCCAGGGTAGGAATTGAAATGGCTCTCTTCATAGGGTATTAACTTGCCAATTTAATTTATTTTTCTTAAATTGCAGCTATGGATGGACAATAGCTGCATGCTCCCAGTGTCAAAGACACATTGGTTGGAGATTTACAGCGACAGATTCCCAAACAAGACCAAGCAAATTTTGGGGTCTTTGCAGACGGTCATTAAATTCCAAATCTGTCAAGGAATTATTCCCCAAAGAGTAATGCTCCTCACATCAAATCCTTGTTAATATATTTAAGACTCCTATGTAGTTGATCAAGAATATATTGTTTATTGGTAGGGTCATGTCAGCAACTTTTATTTCTAATGGCAATCTTAACTAGTGCACCATATATTTCTTTTCAGAAAACAGATCATACACATGTACAGATTTCATAATTTGTTTGAGCATAGTGTGTATCTGAAGCTCACATCACAGATGTGCTAAAAAATTCTTCCCTCTCTGACCTGACCTTTGAGGGAATGTAGAAGTGAATTTTTGTCCACAATAATTTACCAAATCTCAGACTGATATCATTAAACGTGAGGAACAGAAGGGAAGTAGTTATCAAATAAGGATTGCAAGTTTGTAAAAAGATATAATTTAAACTTAGAAATATGCACAAGATACATGCCAATTGCAATCAAGTATGCATTTCAGTACAATGTGACTAATGTCTGAGCTTGCCTAGAGTTTTAAAATTCAAAATGTAAAATCTACATGAAGTTTACTAACATTTTGATTTCATAAAATGACTTCATGTTGGATATGCATACATATGCAGAGACAATTTATATACTGAACAACAAACTCGGTAGACTGGCACCAACAGACAATTCATTAACAACAACACTGAACAATCGATGGACTTCAGCTCCCATCATTAAGTAAAATTTACAAGTGGTGAAAAGACATATCAAATAGTGGTCCTGCCCGATAAAATATACTAGGATGAAATTGGTGAAATGAGACTTAAAGTAATGATAAAAGTAAAAAATACAAAACTACGTTCACATCACTTCCATTGCACTTTGACTACTATTTTCACTAAATCCTATGGCAGATATACCATTAGAGGTAGATTCACTGGTGCCAGGAAGAGCATCCATTGTTTCTTCACTAACCACTTGATTGGATTCCGTATTGGTTGAAGTCTCAGAGTCATCCCAATTAATCTTAATGCGGGTTACTCTAGGCTGGGAGCTAAGAATATTGCGGTGAACCTAAAGAAAGGAAAATATTACTCAACTTTATATCATAGACTACTAAAATGAGTCCACAATTGATCTCACCTTATCAAACTGAGGCTGAGTTGGCGGGTTTTCACGGAGTTCAGGATCATTGTACTCGTTATTTATGAAATAACCAACTCTGACAAATTCCTGACTGCGGTATGAACAGGTAAGTAAAACGACTGTTACACCAAGAGCGTCAGCAACAGGGATCTTGTTAACATCTGGAGGATCAGCCTGGAATTCAGAAGACAATGTAAAGAACAGGAAAGAAAAAGGCGTCAGGCAAATTTAAAAGAAGTTGATAAGCAACAGACCTGAAACACAAACATGTGCTTTCCCTCTGGAATGGGACCGACATAGATAGTATCTAATACTTGATCATGTTCTTCACTTTCTGCTGAGCCAACATAAATCATCTTCCACTCCAGATCTGTAACGGAAAGAGAGTAAATAGATATCATGAACAAAATAACAGAGCAGAACCGGGTTCCCTGAACTGAAAACTTCAAAAGATATTGAAACTTAAAGGTTAGAAAGAACACACAGAAGTTAAACCAAGGAAGAATTAAAAGCACCAGAGAAATGACAGCATGCCGCACTCGGACGAAAGGGGACCATTCATTCTCATTGAAGTTCAAACCACAAGATGATATTGACCACTATCAAACGCTTTAGTCAAAAGGGGTAATAAACAAACTGCCAACGTAAAAGGGTTAATGACTCACCTTCTTTCAGTTCTTCAATACATTCGAAGGTTAATTCAAACTGGAACGGGTTAAGGAATGGCGAGGGATTGTCCAAGACAACAACGTTGCACAGCTGAACTTTGGCCATTGTGGATAGTCACTGGAAATGGAATAAGAAAACGGGAGTCAAGTCGGTCCAGAAGGTCCACAACGAGTTCAACAAACTCAACAATTTGACAGTACGCAATATAGCGTACCCTATATCGGTTTGGTGCAAAACTTACCAGTGATCCAGAAGGAGAAACGGATGTTCGATACTAAGTACACGCGATTGAATAAAATACAGTGGACAAACACAGTCTGAGCCGAAGGACAGCAACTGTCCAAGTGCTTCTGAATGGCGCCAATGCAGCTACAATAAATGTCGTACGCAACGGAACGAGTGTTCCTGAACAAAAGCAGTAGTGGAAATGGAAAAAAAATAAGATTGCCAACTGTCGCAAGTGGAAATAAAGCGGGAAACATTAAAAAATCTCCTTCTTGATTCAAGAAGCTAGTTTCTGTTATATTTTTAGTAAAAAGGAGAATATTATGATGTATAAAATAACAGTTCTTATCATAATTATTAAATTTTTAGTACTGACCACCAGCTGTTGGGCTGTCAGATTTGGTGATCACATGACATTTGTCCGACTGTCAATGCCGTGATTGGACGAAAAGAGATGGGCGGCAACGGGAGGACGACGCTCTTTTATTTTCGCCTAGGATTCGAGGATGCTGCGATTCGCTTATCCGACCTTAATCCTAGCGGTCCTCCACAGTCCGACCAGCCAAATCCAATCCCATGGAAAAGGATGAAAACACGACAGCTCGTGCGAAATGAGGGAATAATGTTGTGGGGGTAGTCCGCCTTCGAAGGAAGTAGTCTAGGAGGAGTCTCGGCATCACAATTCCCGAGTACCGGGTACCGCTTACCGGGTACCGTTCAGCGGGTACTAAGCATAAAAACCTATAGTGATGAAGGGGCATCAAGCCCGGTGATATATTTTTCCGGATCCTATACTCTCCGTTGTTCTAGTTTGATAGGGAAGGTTGAATGGTAAGGTATCAGGATCAGGTAGGCGTTAAAGGGTACTGTCCTAACTGCCCCCCCCCCTTTCCACCTACCCCGCTCCATGCAGTAAGACCGAGGGGGAAGGGGGAGGTTTTGCCGAACGCATCATTAAATGCACCGTTTCGGGGCAACTGTCGCATTTGATGCGTATTATTGGGGCTGTATATGGGGGCGCGTCAGCGCGGTATCCTGGCCCTCCCTCATGGGTGCTCATGGGGAAAAGCTGTGTTATCCCGGGAACCGTGCTATCAATGAGTCTTGGGGTTATCCTTGAGGGATTTATTGCATCCTCTGGGCCGAGGCCGAGAGCACTACTACTGCCTGTGGCCCGCCCCGCCGCCCCTTGTCGCACGGTGCGCGGCACAAGTTAGGCCCCACTGTTTTCCGGGGGGTCAGTGTGCTCCCCTCGGCAGATTCCTAGCATTCCTCGAACCCTTGAGCAGAAAAAAACTGTACCAGCGGCTTGAACAATTGTGTCCAGATGAGCCCCTTTACTATCGCCACCAAGCGACGCCACAGCTGTCGAGGCGATTAGGAAAGTGGGCAAGAGTGACAGCTCCATCGACCTCAAGATAACGGTGTTCATGTTGGGTACCCTGGCCACCCCTATCTCGGGCAAGTCTCCTTCCTTGGACCCAGTCCCCACCCTGAAATGCAGTAGAACTGTCAACCAGAAAACTCAACCCCTTCCCGTGGGGAAGATGGATGCTGAAGGCGAGTACTTTTACAGTCGCAGGGCAGCTGTATCTTCCCAACGGACTCGGAGGCGAGGCGCGTGCCGGCGGCTGCGATAATCATTTTGTCCCTTTGGGTGACATTTCCCAGTTTTCCCTCTTGCATTAAGTGTCAGTCGATTAGACATTGATTGAGGTACTCAAAGGGATGATAGTTTTTCCTCTGCCGACCCGTTTTCCCATCTGTTTACACTGTGACATAGAGGAACATAACCTCACTTTACATTACCAACAATGGCTGTTTTCTCGTAAACGTCAAGTAGAAACTGGTTCAGAGTCAGTTTAAAACCGGTAGAATGTGCAAAACGAAGGACTTAAAGCCCAGACCTTCTGTTTTTCATGATATGACTCTGTGCTATACGGTGTTTTGTTCTTAGAGTAATGTATGTAGATCATATGTGGTTGTGTGATTAGTGCATAAGAGGAAGAGGTAATTTTAAACACTTTCCTTTCCTAAACCATTGCAAAACATATTCTTACACTGCACTTCTTGTTTAGAACCGACTCAAAGTCTCAGCAATTTTCCCAGCGTTTCATTATCTAGTGATTAAATTATCTAATAAAATTATCAGAAAAACTATTTCTAAATATTCTAATTTCCTTTAGTTTCAGATAATAATAAAAAACAGCCAGACATGTTGTCTTCAGAAGAAGTGGATGCATTAGAAGGCATCAATCGCCGATTCCAGGAGTTAATGAGTGATCCTGAAATCCTCAATGAGGCTGCAAATTTTTTAGTTGAAGATCTGATTGATGAAATGACTATAGGAATAGTTTTTGAAGTTCACCGTTCTGCCAAGTTGGGTGTTCTTGATCCTGAGGCAGACATGTCTGGTGAAGACATCACTAAGTAAGTTCCATGTTCTCAAATTTAAGTGGGGGTGTTCTTAATGTGATTGCTTACCTAAATCATATTTCCTTATAGGTTCAAAATAATAGATGACCCTGGCTTGGATGTTTTTGGCCAGCCGCCTGTCATAAAAAAATTTCAAGACTGTATCTGTCCGAGCTGTAACAGGGGTTTAGCAGCCTCCAGGTTTGCGCCTCATCTTGAGAAGTGCATGGGAATGGGCAGGAACAGTAGCCGTATTGCTAGCAGGCGTATTGCTAACAACAGTAAGGAAACAAGGTTGGTTTTCTTTCCAATATTTTTTTTCTGAAACCTTCCCAGATATGTGGTATATTATTATATATTTGGTCATGTTTGGTTTCTCTCCATTTTAGTAGTGCTGTTGTGAGTGAAGATGAAGATGATGAATGGACTATTGGAGGTGACAGGCGGCGGAAAAAACGGGACCGCAGCAATGGGAATGCAAAGAAACCATCGAAGAGTCTTAAATCAGATAGAAGAAATGGTGACTCAAATAGTTCCTTTGGGGGCTCTGTGTCAGAGAGCCTTGGTAGTTCTTCTGGCAACAATGCATCTTTTGATGCTAGTAGTGCAGCTCTAGAAGCCAAGCGACCTGATGAAAGAAGAACCTTACTGTCAAATATTTGTGGTGTAATATCAGAGCACACTAGAAAGTTGTGCACGAGGTCTCTTCGTTGTCCACAACACTCTGATGAACAACGTCGTGCTCTAAGAGCGTCTGTTCTTGTAGATGAAACCAATTTTCAGTCAGAAATCCCTGAAGTACAGGTAATATGCAATATTTTTCTCCTAAATTTTGGGGCACATGTTGGTTGAGCTTCCATCTGATGTTTCATTTAATTTTCAGGTTAATGTGGAATCTCTTGGTCTTGATCCAGATGATCTGCTTAGTGGTCTTGGAGGTGGTGTGGGCTCTTTAGGTGGTTTAGGCATGGGGTCTCTCAGCCGTGGAAGCTGGGAAACAGAACGCTCAAATGCCTCTTCTCCTGCTGATTCAGTTTCTGTCAGCTCTTCTACATCTAGCAAAAAGCGTGAGAAATCAAGTCCTGGAAAAAGTAGCAATCATAAAAAGAAAAGTAAACATTCATCTTCACATGAGCTGTAACTGTTGCAGCCATAGATGCCAATTTTGTTTTACTTATGTGCATAATTTTTGTTTCATAGGCCAGTGTGAACTGTTCATTGCTTCCTGGTTATATTCATTTTATATCCTCTTTTGAGCTAAAAGTTTTCAATTTTTAAAGGCTTTTGCTTTTGTTTGAGAAAGGAACATAAAAAGCTCCTAGTTAAATAGATGTGTAAGCTGATTTTGATACAGAAATTATCAATTATTTCAAACCCTTCTCCATTCTTCTTAAATTTAAAATCTGAATGGTGAGTTGTTAAAAATGTTGTTGAAAAGTTAGACATCAATTGGAAAAGAATGAAGTTACGTGTCTTCTACGAATTCTTCCCATTTGTGTACTGAGTATGACTGTGGTAGTGTATTGTCTAGTTTGTGTGGCTTTTCAGTCTTAAACCTAAACCTCCTTAATGTGATGTATATACCATTTACTTAAGCTCAAATATTGTTGCTGGGCATGAATATTTCTTCAAAATTAAGATAAATTCTGATTTTGAATGTCAAATTTTTAATGAATGTTTATGATGCTCATGCATGCCAGTGGCCAATGCTGTGTTGTATACGTAAGGCACAGGAAATCAACTTTACTACCTCTATGGATTTCAAATGAAGAAATTCAATTGATTGTGTAAAAGCTATGAAAATGTACGGTTCACATCCTAGTAGTGAATCAATCTGGAATGTGCTGGAAGACCAATTTCAAATGCTCTCATTGCAATTGTTGAATTTATTGGGTGAGGAATCAACAATCTTATGAAGCATGCGCCATCTTAGGTCCATGGTAAAATTGCTGCCTGTGCAGCTATGAGGGTGAAGCATGCACATTTGGCTATGCTCCACACTCACAGCCCACATAAGGATGATAATATTCATCTGTCACCTAGAGGGACGTTAGTTGTGTGTATTCTGTTCTCACTTTCAGTAATAGTTGCTGCTTGTGAAAACATTTTATTTCTTACAGGGTCTTTTTCTTAATTTTAAAAGCCTTCAGCCTTAAGTGTATTGATGCATTCTATTACTTTCCCGTTGTGTTAGAAGTAGTAATGGAAGAACTGAAATCTGGGAAGTATTATTCTCTGACATTCTACATTATCTTATAATGTAGAATCAAATTCAATGTTTGACAAAAACTGGAATATGATATTTGACATAAGAGTATGTTATGAGTATGTGATTTAATAACATAGCTCATGCTTAAATTTTCAACAAATTAGCTCGTCAAACAATTGTATTGGAAGTTGAGTTTTCATTCTGTCTACCCAAACTGATATATGGTTGAAAAGCCTTTGTGATGTGATCATATTATGTATATTATCATACATATTATCAAGTCGAAACTAATTTATGTATCCTTTACCATTCTATGCTATGTATGAAAAGTGAATTACAAGCAAAGATTTTTTTTTGTTAAGACATTGTTTACTTTTGTTCTTTTATTGAAATGACAACCCTTTTATTCAGATAAAAGGAAACTTGATTCCTGTTGGTTCAGGCTTGTGTAGAAGAAATGAAGAAGAAAGAATTTCGTGTATACAGTTGAGCCGTTTCAATGGCTTTAACGCCAACCGCCAGCCCTTCTCTGGAGGTCCCTAATGCATGTGAGGTTTAGGTAAAATCGTAGTACCTCTCCTCAGTCCCCATGCAGCACAGAGTGTTATATCCAGTGGGAAAACTCGCTCTTTCCAAGCCGAACGGATGTCTGTTCTTTCTAGATGGAGTTGTGGAGACACGCTCCATCCCTCCATACATCCGCGCAGAATGGGTTGCCTACGCAGCACGTCGCGGGCGCCCTTTTCCCTCCCTCCGACATAGACGTCCGTCTTGCTGCTTAGCTAATGTAAGACTGACAACTGACATGTGCTATGCGATGGGTTGCCTACTTCACGTGCCTGCAGTTGAACTTTTATAAAGTTTCGGTTTTAGACTCATTAAAAGTTTCTGTATATTTCAGTGCGGAGGGGCTATCGAGACGCTAGTTGCACTAGCCACAAAATGACAATGGTTAGGATGCTCTTGTACTTGGGACACCAACGGAAATGTATCTTTTCCAGCTTTCAGTTTTGTTCTGAAAAAAACTAAAAAAGGGGGAGACGTACAACAAAACAATCTTCATTTTGGCCGATGTTCCATGCCTAAGCGCCCGCGAAGCCCTGGGTAGGCAACCCAGCGGAGCTGCCGGGTGTAACAGAACTGCCTACCTCCCAGGCGCTCGACACTCGACAGCATAGCTGCTGCTGCGCGAGCCTCCACTCCACTAATGCAAACGATTAATATTATTACAATTAAAACTGATATCGCCCTGCTACTGCTTCTAGACACTTTGGTGTGATATTGTGGCTATAGTAGGGGGCACGCACCAACATACATCTCAAACTGGGATCGGTGTGATCGTTCTCCCTCTTTCCTTTCTTAACAGAACTGCCGCTGGCTGCTTGAGGGACAAAATAGTGGACACCAAAACGCCATAAGGTATTCAAAATAAAGCAATATTTTATTTCTTTACTGTTAAAATTAACTTATAACTGAAACTTTGAAACTGATTGCTGCACAGTACACTTTCGGACCGGCGAGATAAGCTATTTCTTTTGTTGAAAATTGTTACAATATTTATAGCTGTGCTTTCTTCCCACAAATACAGGGGTCTCGTCACCAGAACGCCACGGGGAGCATGCAGCAAACGAGGGGCCATACGCCTTGCCTTTCGTTAGCATCACCACATCACTGATGGTCCGGGGGGACACCCTCTGCAGAGCACTTCAATGGAAGAGGGCAGGAAACTTCGCACGGCCCGTCGCTGCAGCAAACAGGCCTCGACCTCTGGGCATGGATTGTAGAAATACGAGCGTTGTAGGACTAGCCGGGTGAGGCCATGGAGGCCGCAGGTCGCCAGGTCCTGGCCCAAGTGCGGGAAGAAGAAGCACCAGTCATCGTTGTCGTCCTCGTATTCACAGTGTATCCGGAGCTCCCGCAGAGACTTGCTATGAGCGCGGATCAGAGTCAGCATGGTAGTCTTGTGGTCTACATTGAGGCACAAGCCCAGCCACGTCAGCCCTTCATGCAGCGATGGGGGGAATGACACGTTGTCGCCATAGTAATTGTACACCATAAGACTACGCAGACGGGGCATGTGCTGCACTTGGAGCATCTGTTGCTCATTCGGAGACCACAGCTCCAGCTCCTCCAGCTGCAACGGCAGGTCTGGAAGTTTGCGGAACTCCTGGTCACTGTTGCCGATTATCAGTCTTTTAAGTGATGGCATTTCTACGGCCTGTTTGAGGGCCGCGTCCAGGTCGTCGACACTTTCGGACATCTCCAGCTCTTCGAGTTGGGGGGCCACGACACGGATGACACGCAGTAGCTCCGCCGAACCGGCTCCAGTTAGGTTTTGTAGGACGCGTATGTTTTCGCAGAGCCACGGGTTTTTAATAACGTCCTTCACCTTCCATTTTCGCCCTTCTGTATCGGGGCGATCTATGACGAAGGTCGAGAGCCTTGGAGGCCCTACCGCGACGGCAACCTGGAGTGAAATAACGACGCTATTTAAGCTCACGGGAGACGTGCCAACCAGCGCGTGGCGTGCGCGTGGGTTTAGCTGTCCCCACACTGAGCGTTTCACGAGGCGACGCCAACTGGGCGCTGGGTAGGCCAACCCGCCAAGCTGCCGCCTGAAGACGGCGGCGCACCCCACCACCCAGGGCGCCCAAGTGACCGGGCAAGAGAACACTTTGAAGTCGAACTTGCCCGCGCGCATCACCCTAAAATCAAGACCTCACCACTACTACCAACTACCAGGCTTCCAGGCTCACCTTGTGCAGTTCGGCGTCCGCCCGCAGCTGAAGAAGGAGGAGGCGCATGACGTCGTGATTTGGGCCGAGCTTCACCGACGCCGTCCACGTGTCCGCACTCTGCTCCGCAACCACGCGGCACTTTGTGGCTGCTAGCAGACGGAGGCTGTCCTCGAGCTGCACCACGAGCTGGAACTGCTCTCCGGCCAGCAAGTCGGGCGGGGTATCCTCGTCACCCGGCGCCTGCTTCCTCTGCAGCTTACCGAGAGTCTCTTCCATTCGCGACAGCTGAGCGACCGACGAGTCCAGCTGGCGGTTTAGAGCCTCCACCGCCAGAGGAACCAGGTGCCGCAGCTGCTCAACCAGCTTCCTCCCCGCGTCCACGCCTCGCTGCAGCTGCTGGACCGCAGTGTCCTCCCTCCTGAGCACCTTGCAGGGCGGCGGCGCGCCCTGCTTCTCAACCATCCGTATCAGGGAGATGTTGTCGGGAAGGTCGCCGGGGTCGACGGTCAGGTCCTAGGAGAAGATTTGGTATTCTAATTTACAATGGTATATACTTTGCTAAAAATGTTGAAAAGAAACAAATATTTAGCGAGTAGTCCACTTAATGAAATTATATCAAATTGGGCTCTAAAACAATAATGTCCGCTGATAAAGTGAAGGATCAGTTAGGCCAACATACAGTCAGAAAAGATTGAGCAGGGGGGAATCAGAATCTTTGCACAATATTACGTAACTTGCAAATCCTCCCAGCAAAATCTTTATGAATAGAATGTGGTCAGAATGTTACGCCCTTGCAAGGCACCCCAAAGAAAGAAACTTCTGTGATTTCGCATGAGAATGATAGATCAATCTAACCTTCATGCACATAGGACATCTCTTCATGCCAGGACTCTGCATGCACCTCAAGCAAATAGTGTGACCACAAGGCAAACACTTTGGACGATGATTGTTCAGGTCAAACTGCATGAAGCAAATGTCACACTGCATTATATCGTCCTGATCCTGAAACACATGGATAAAGAAATGTCGCATTTCAAGCAAATAGGGATAATGAAACCACTTCTTTAACTATTGAGTAAAATAAATACTTCTACAATTATGAAAAAGAAAACATATCTTTTTCAAATAAAAAAAAATTAAATGACAAGGAATAGCACATAACCCAGGTATCTTCTATTATCCACATTTTGACTTACATCACTAAAATATCTTGAAAGTTTTGTATGACTAAAAGCAGACATAGCCTCTGAGCTCCACTTTACTGCCAAAGGCTCGAGGAAAAAATGTTGACAGGCAGTCTTAACCTACTTGCCAGGCCTAAGAACGGCAAAGGATGGCACTGGTGACTGCTTCTGTTAGGAACGTGACGATTTCCACACAATCCGAAATTGGATAAATAGACGAAGTATACGAAATCAGGTTAGGTTCGCCGATTCCGGCAAGTCAAAACACGCCCCTTGCTAGCCGCCTCGTTTCCGGATGTGTACGCCAGTTCGACGGTGGGATTGGCTGGTTGTCGACCGGATGTGGCGGTGAGGTGACGTCGCGGGAAAGACAAATGCGCTACCGGCCCTGAGCGCGCCGCGGCCTAGCCGCCTTTCAAAAGTCTGAGACCTTCGCAGATTGCGGGTTTGTAACGTCTTTTTGATTGATCTCTGCAGTATGGGCGTTTACAGGCAGTGGAGAGGGTAGCGGCACAGTGGCCACTGTTATAATCAGCATACCCAGTGCGAAATGAAATATATCGTTTTGACATCGCATGTCGAAAATGTGTTCAAATCAGGTACAATTTTTTATTGTTCACCACATTCGATATCGGAACGTTATCGCACCCCAAACCCTTTCTCGGTGGGTAGCAACTGGACAGGCCCGACGCCAGGTCGCTCCGGGCGGGCCGCCGACTCCACACAGCTGCTTAGCAGGTTGGCCTACCCAGTGCGTTGCAGGCGCTCCCATCAGCCCAGCCTGCTTGGACGTCCGGTGCCCCGGTGCCCAACGCGTCCTCGGCCTCGGGTCCTGTCACCGTGACCATTACCTCAAACGTTCGTTGCGATCTCACTTTATGAGGGCATAGAGGAGATAAAGAGTAAATCTAAAGAAAAAGAATTGTATTCGTGAACTGTTTAATGGGACATAACATAATGATAGTGTACAGCGCATTTTTTTAAAACGTTGTAGAGCAGACTCTACATTACACGGTATGTCATATTGCAAACTATACAAATATATTTCTTATTTTATCATTTTTATAGAATAATCTGTGTTAAAATAATTTTGTTTCTTATGCACATAAGATTTAGCTCCACAGCCTATCGTATACCTCCAGGAGCAAAAGTCTTTCATCTTCTAGATGTTATTATCAGAAGATCACCCCCTCTGGTAAATCATTTTTGTTTCCACCTCGAACAAACACCCGCTCAATGTGATTTTAATACAAAGGAGCAAATTAATTTGGTTTACAGCCCACAGTAGTAGTGGAATTTTATCTAGGAACTGCTAAAATTAAGTCAGAGATATGTTGGCAATGTATGCACAGCAAAAAGCATGTAAATTTCATGTAGAGACAGTAGTTTAACTATACAGGCAGTTTACCTACCATCACGAGTGTGATGCTCAGTCAATAGTCGTAAAGAAACTCTGTTCCACGCGGTTCTTTCTACGTCTATTTTCTGTTGAGAATCGCCAACTGCCCGACCCCGTGTTGTACTCAGCGGAGGGAACTAGGTAGGTCTTCCCAAACACAAATAACCCAGGGGTAAATTGTGTTGTAAGAAATGTTCTTAGAAGAATTCTAGAAGACTGTCTAATCCGTAGAAAGAAACTTTGAACTACACGATTTACATGTCGGGCGACTCGCTCCGGTTCACAATACGATTACAATTAAGGCAATGAAATCCATGACCACAAACAACTTATTTTTGGCACACCTTCCTTCAACCTTTCTGAAATTTTCACCTGCAGATGTGACCCGGAAGTAACCTCGTTTAGTTAGTACTTGAACTTATCAGTATTAGGGCCATGCAAAAGCTTACACAAAGGATAGGTGAAGAGAAATAATCTTAAAACACCTTATTAAGGTGGAATTGAGACAAGCATTATTTTGCTAATGTTTTCAGTTAAAATAGCTTTTCACTTATTCGGGGCTACTATGACTAGGCATATTTTTCATCCAATACATGGCTGTAAGAGATCAAAATCACTTGTAAAATATAAGTACAATATTTATTATAATATTACAACTAAAATAAATAAGTTACATGAACAAAAATATGCAGGTTAAAGCACAGAACATAGCCAGGTGTCGACTCGGAAATTATTTCAAACGTCTGAATTAGTAAATTCTAAAAGCTGAGTCGAGGGCGTTACGTGATTGGTTCGTACTCAAATTTTTCCATGATACACATGCAGTCGACTATTTTTTTTATTTTCTTTTAAACTTGATCCAGATAATACTGTTATTTTTTACGGTCAGCCAGCAAGGCTTAACAAAATTGAGAGAATTTCCGCTTTTGTTGGCATGGGGTGACAGCGGCCCCGGGAATGTCCCCTTTCTTTCCGTTTGCCTGCTACACTTTCACAAAATGAGGCCGACAAGCGCCGGGTCGATACGATTGACTCTTCTTAATGCTACTCTCTTCAATCACGTCCCTCCTGAAGTACGCGTCGGGCAAACTGTCCTAGTGGAGGACAAGCGTTGCCCTACGTTTGCAACAGAGCGTCTCCGTGTCCCTACAGAGGCATCAGTAGAGCAATTTGAGACAACGGTGGAGCCGTAGTCCTACTGTTGAGTTTTGAGAGCACTCTGCCACACACTTGTCCAGTGAGCAGACTTTAAGACTTTTTGACTAGAATAGTTCACTGAAGCTCGCACCTCATTCGCGCGACTTGCACGAAGGGTTGCCTACTGCCCCTTAGGCCGCCAGTCAGGTTCAGTTAGGGCGCGTACGGGAAACCACTCGTAAGAAACATAGTCGGAGCAAACTATTCCCTAGAAAATTGACGGTGTGCTTTTTGAAATCAAGTGTAAACTTGAAAGATTTGTGGGGCTCAGTATCTATCCATTCACAAACTTCCCATATCAATCTTTAAGAATATCGTATAGTAGTTACAAGAAGAAGTTTACGCACCCATACCCAGACGCCCAGAGGTTCTACTCGCCGACCTTGTAAGACACCTAACACTAGGCCTTCAAATAGGGTGATCGTTGTCACACACACATCCTACCTCTCGCGCAACATATCGCACACAATCTGCACTCAGTAGTGCACTCATGAATGTTGCTATAAGCAACAAACAATCAGAGTCAGCCACTCCGTGACAATATCTTTGTACTTTGTAGCTATTTTAAACAGGAAGGGTGAACAACAGCAAAAAAAAAAAATAATTAAAAAATACCACAGGGTAAAAGGGACACATCTAAGTAGCTTGGTTGGATAGCGCCTTCCAATAAGGCATCGCCTTAAGAAATAGTTCCGATAAAAGCTAGGGAGTAGTGTTCTTACTGTCCGTCCAGATCCAAGCCATTTGCCTCCCCAAGCGGAAATCAGGTACTTGATACAAGCTAAACGGAGAGGGCGTGCAGTTGCGGGGGAGGGCGGCGAACAGCAGTAAAGTGACCGGTTCAGCCCCGACCTCCTCAGGGAAGCTGCAAACACCCCAGAATCCCCCCGGAACGCACACAGATCGAGGCAGACAGCCACTATCGCGTTACGGGGCGACCGGGGCATATGGGTAATATAGGGCGGGTTCGACTGCAACGCTCCCGGAGCGGCAAGTCCATGTTTTTCTTTACAATCGATGAGCCAAACCCTCACTTTTGCGTTGCTCACGAGCAGGCGATCCTTTGCGCCGCATTCCCGCTCTGCGGCTTTCTGAGAAGCCCGCACGCAACGCACAAGCGAGCGCACAGCGGCGGGCCACGCCACATGCCATCTTTGAGGGGCTTCTGCTCGTCTCGACTTACAAGGATAAATTGAAGAAAAAAAAAAGAAAAAATTCGAAAAAAAATTTACAACCATCATCTTGGATTGTTTAGCCAATAATGGGTCTTTTTATTATTTCGAAACGATGACTTGGACCCCAGTCGCTCCAGTGGCTCCAGTAGCTCCAGCTGCTCCAGTGACTCCAGTGGCTCCAGCGGCTCCAGTCGCTCCATCGGCTCTCCATCGGCTCTAGAGACTCGATTGGCTCCAGTAGCTCCAGTGGCTCCACTGGCTCCAGTAGCTCCATCGGCTCTAGTGACTCCAGTAGCTCCAGCGACTCCAGTGGCTCCAGTAGCTCCACCGGCTCTAATGACTCCAGTGGCTGCAGTGGCTCCTACGGAGCCGGCCACGTCAGCGTCGTGGTTGGCTCCGCATAAGATGATGAGGGAGGGAGGGGGGTGGGCGGGGAAGGTCAAGGAAGGGTGTGGGGGAGGCGTGGCGGACGCGTGGCGCGGGGCGCGGCGGGGTGGAAGCACGCGATGTCCTGCCGAAGTCCTGCCGGATCCTGCCGCAGTGCCGCGCGAGGCTCTTACGGCCGGTCCGACTTGTCGCTCGGCTTACTTCTGGTGGTCTTGCCGTTGTTACTGTGCTTGTCCTGCTTGGTCTTGCCCGCCTGCTGCTGCTGCTTGCCGCCCTCCGGGAGACCGTCACCGTCGTGTCCGGCCTCCGCGCCCACCCCGGGCGCCGGGGTCGCCGGGGTGGGGTCGTCCTGGAACAGGGGGTTCTTCACCTCCATCTCCTGCGTCTGGAAACGAAAGACGTGGCCGGATTAACAACCGCAGATGGAGAAATCCTACTTGACCTCGCATCACAGAGTAAAAAACAAACAAACTGATTTTAGCTATAACTGCGAAAAAAAAGGCTTCCTGAAGAACTTACCGGGGCGAGGCCAGGACACTCGTACACGGTGTAGTCGCCCTCCTCGTTTTCGTCCTCGCTCTCCGCCTCCGACATGGAGCCTCTGCGCCCGCCCGCCGCGCGGCTGAAAAGCAAAAAGTGTGCATTTATGTACGCAATAAATACAGTATCTGTGATGGGTATTTAAATAATGCCAAACTTTGGGAGTCTAAAAAAATTTTGGCAAGGAAAAGCGGTCTCTGGGTTTGGAGTGTGCTTAATCACTCCATTACGACTTTACCGTGTGCGAATCGCGTTGTGCTCGCACTCACCTCTCCATGGCGAGGATCTGCTGCTTCTGGTGCTGGTAGTGGTACATCTGCGCAGACTGGGCGAGGCGCCGGTCACCCGTGGGGCTGACGTCCTTGTTGGGGCCTGTGACACCGTACGCCGGGTACTCCACGTCAGCTGCCGCCTTGGCGTTGCGATGGAGGCTGCAACACCATAAGACACCGTTTTATCACCACTTTCGGTATTCATTTGAAATCGTAAGCCGCGTTCGTCTAATGAAGTATGGAAGTGATCCATTTTTTTTATCACGAAGTTGTGTTCGTCAAGCGGGTACGTTTAAAAAGATAAAAAAGTACGAGGGATTTTTTTCTTTCCTTCTCCTCTCTCCCATGCCCGTTTCCAAGGCGCCTGCGAACCAGGGGATAGGCAACCGGGTGCGCACGGGAGAGTTACGGGACAGCCTAAGCCTCAGGCGGCTGCCCGGCCGCGGTGGTGGGGAGTTCACTCTGAGAAGTAAATGGGCACTTTCCAACAGGTTTGATTCCTACCCAACGTCGGTTGCAGGAATTCCCCAGCAAACTCTAGTTTTACTATTTTACTTGGGATAATGTGGGTGAATCAATCAAGTTTGCAACGTTCGGAAACTTTTAATATGGTTCTCAATCTCTTGAAGATGTGCTTTCTTTTGCAAATAGTTAGTGCGCATCCCGTAAGCCTCCTCGGAGGAGTCACAATCCAGAAATACGCCACCACACGTTGGAAAAAAATCCCGGGGATCTCTGGCATTCCCGCTCCCTTTCGCTCCCCCCTATCATCTCCTTCCCTCTTTTCCAGGTGGCCGGAGACGCCCTGCTGTAGGCCATTCCCAACACCAGCGCGGCGCCGCCTCCTGGACCGAATTCGCCCGGCGAAAGGAGAAAAATAAAACTCGCGTGTGCGGTTCTCGTTCTCACGCGACTGGGTGGTG